TGTTTCTGGCACCTCGCCAATGACAAAGCCGCGGTCGCCTGCAGTGGGCCCATCATGGGTATGATCGGGACCATAGATGCCCAGGTCGGTGACAGTCTCGGCAAACGGCTGCTGGTAAACGGCCGGCTCACTTTGTCCTGGTGGGCTGTCGCGACGCATGTAGGTGGGGTTGTCGATGACAATGTTGGGATCAAACCCAGTGTCTTGAAGACCAGCCGCCAACACAGAGGCAAATTCTAGATCATCTGCAAAGGCGCCAGGCATCCTAGACGTCTGAGGGCTAGAAGGCTTGGGGCCTGGGGCGGGAGGCAAGTCTGCGTCATCTTCGAACGACGTGGTGAGCTTAGATGGGGCAGCTTCGATGATGGGTGATATAGGCTCAACGCTGCGGGACTTTGGTGACTCTGGGGGACTGTGTCGCTCCCTGTCCTCTTCGGGCTTGCTCTCGAAAGGATCGCGCATCTTGGGGGCTTCAGAGGCTTCAGAGACTGCAGCCGCTGCAGCTCCACCGGCAACGCCTGCAGCAATGATGCCCCACGGTGAACTCTTGCCCAGTTTCTTTTTCTTCTTCTTAGACTTACTAGAGGTGCTGGACAGCTCCTTGATTGGAGGCTCTGGGCTCTCGATCTGGAAGCTCTTGGTCTCATTCTCGCCCCAAGTGACTGACTTGGCTGTGGGCGTTGTCGGCCTTTCCACAACCTCGCCTCTGGGTCCAAAAACGATTTCTGTGGCAGGCGCGGTCGCAGAAGAAGGTGGCTCAGCTGAAGTAACGGATCGTGGTTGAACAGGCTCTTGACTTCTACTGGAGGGTTGTTCCTGCGCTTGCTTCTCAGGGGCGGGCGTGTGGCGCGGGGTAACAACGGGTGTGGGTAAGACGAGGTTCAGCAGAGGTCGCTCACGCTCAGCAGAAGGATCGCGAGACTGGAAGATTGGCTGTGCGCCAGGATCGAGTTGACGGTGAGGCAGACGGAAGCGAGAAAGCTCGTCGGGAATGATGACATGATCAATGCGAACATCGGCGTTGGGGGCGTCGTACGGGCTCTTGTCGTGAGGATGATCCATCTCGGGCGGTGTTACGATGGTAACGATGTCAGGGCCCTCATCGTGGTCCTGCCACTTGCCGACGACAGACTCATCATGGGGAGACGCACTGCGCGAGCGGATCTCGTCCTTGGCGATCTTGCGGGCGATGACAGTCTCACGGTAGTACCGATCGGCCTCTTCCTGTACGGCGTCCTTGGTAGTTCGGGATCTGTCGCGAGAGCCATCCTCGGTCACATGATCGTTGCGATGCTTGCGTGATCTCTCCTCTTCGACGGCGATGGCAGAAGCAATGGCGGCCGCGGCTATAGGCACGGTAGCGTGCTTGGCCTCATCGTAGATGGACTTTGCAGCATGCTGTTCCTCCTGAAGGGAATCTCTCCGGCGGCGCGGCTCAGGGGTCCGGGAACGGTCTCGTGCTCCTTGCTGATACTGCTCCAGACGCTTCTCGAGTTCAAAGGAGTCTTTGCGGCTCATTCGGGATTCGGAGTAGTCGGGCTTCCTCGGCGGAGAATCGTCAAAGTTGGGTTCGCGGTCGACGGTCACGACCTGGGGAGTCAGTGGCCTCTTCGGGGTGGCGTACTTTGGCGTTTGGAACGCATCATCAGCGACCTGGAACTGGAAAGGGTCAATAGGGGCTTGTGCATTGGGGGCCTCGGGATGCTCCACCCCATGTTTCTCTCGGGGCGCCTCAGTCGGCTTCTCTACCCGCTTCACATCCCGGCGTTCATCCACGACCACCACCGGCTTACGGTCATCCCTGCGAGGTTCCTTTGGTTCCTCACGTGGCCGGTGGTCATCTTTTGGGTCGTACTCAACTCGAATCTCGTCACCCTGGGGCAGCTTGTACACCTCCGGGCGAGGGTCAGTCTCGACGTCGGGCTTCTTCAAGGCCTCATAGGCGGGATCAGAACGGCCAGCCCGACGCTTGTCTCTGTCGTCGATGATCTCAACGTTGTTGCGTCTATGGGGCCGGCGGGGGTCGTTCTGATCACGAGGATCGCGGTCTTCCAGCTCAATTGGTACTGGGCGTTCGGGCTCTTCCTCTATACGACGGCTTTGCCAGGAATCGCGGAAGTCATTCCGATGATGGTCCCGTACCTCACTTCGACGGTCATCTCGTCGTTCCATATACTCGCCCGAGTCCCTACGTTTAGCAGCCATGGTAACACCCATAGCCGCAGCGGCAATGCTTACGCCAGCGATGGCATTCTCAGCAGCGCTTCTTCCCTTGGGCGGCTGACGGGGTTGCTTAGAGTTCCGGCGCTCCTCCTCCTCGAATCTTTCTGCATCGTACACCTTGGACGGGAGAGGGACAATGGGAATAGGCTGCTGGATGGGGACTGGGTCGGGCCGGGCACGCTGAGGGACATCCTGGCGGGATGAGGTTACAGAGCTACGGTCGTAGTCAAACTTGTCCGGGTCTGAGGTCGGCACGGGGTATATACGCTGCATCGGTTGTTTCCCAGTCTTGGGCGATTCGACCTGCGCTACCGTCTCTTCGTGGTGGCGCCGGGAAGAGCCAGCGGACCGGGGGTCTTCTTCGCCAAAGCCGCATGGGCTTTTTACGGCGCCGCGAAGAGAGTTTACGGGACCGAAGAGGCGTGGGTCCACAATGGTACTCCTCCGCGAGGGTGGCTTGATCTGCTCCGGAGGCTCGTTTGAAATTCTTGCCGACTTGGACGGCTTGATGGAAGAGCCATACGCCAGGCCGTTGTCGGAATCATCCGTAGTAGTAGACTCATCTTCAGACGCCGATTCCCAATCATCGTCCGAGGAGGAAGCGTTTTCATTAGGTTTAGAAGTGCCAGATCCTCTGGTCTTGGTGTCGCTCTTACTCTTACTACGGAAATGGCTGAAGGCGGCGGCTGCGGCTGCGGCACCAGCTGCGGTACCGGCCAGCTGGGACGCCCGTGACTTGGAAGCAGACTTGAGGTCATGCTCATTCTGCCTGCGCGCAATGTCTTGCAGTTGGCGTCCAATCTCGAGAATTTCTTCGTCGGTCTTATCACGAGGCATCGGGGGCCGCGGTTGTTGTTGGTGGGCGTCAGTCGGTTCAGCGCGGTACAACGAGGGACTCGCGTATCCCTGTGGCCTGGGGCTCGTAAGCTGACTCTTGTCGCGGTCAATGTAGCCGCGACCGTAAGCCATGTCAGAATTGACGGACGAAGAGGAGGAATTGCCAAAGGAGAGAATGCGGGCCTTTTGCTTCTTCCTCCTGCGACGTTTGCGCTGCTCCGAGGGGGCTCTGAAGAAAGTATTAAAGATGCCGCCAAACTTGGGGCTCTTTGCTGAGATGTTGAGCATGGAGGAGGAGGTGGAGGAGGACGAGGAAGAACTGGAGCCGCCTCGCGGGCGCATCCTCTCGGACTGATGGTTTCCTTGGTATGGCTGGGGTTGGGCATGTCGTTCGGGTTCGCCATAGCCTAGAGGCTGAACGAAGGCCTCGGAAGGGGGATACTGTTGTTGCGGCTGGTGGTGTTGGTGATGTTGGTACTGGTCGGGTTGGGGGTATCGTTGGGGCTCGCCATATCTCTGAGAATCGGGATATCTCTCAGAAGGGGCGGCATATCTCTCGGTTTCGGGGTATCTCTGAGATTCGGTATAGGATTGGGGGTATTGCGATTGCGACGGCGAATAGACGGACGGCAAAGGCTGCTGCTGTGTTGGGGCCCGAGATGATGGACCAGGAATACTCGATACGACGCTCTCGTCGGCAGCGCTGGCGAGTTGCTCGCGAGAATCACGGCGGTCTCTTCTTCGCCGCCGAGAGCTCTCTGGGCTCCGGCGACGCGGATCTCGCATCATGGTCGCGAAGGCGTATCGAAAGCTGTCGTGCGCATCTGTCGCTCTTTCGTGGTTCGGGCGCGATTTGATGGAAATGTTCGACGGCGTGGGGTGTCGAATTGTGTGGTGGTGTGGTGAATTAAAGATGAGGCTCTGTGCTTTGAAGTGCGCAGACAATAATCTGGCGATGTTATTGTTTTGTTTTTTGAGGAATAAGCGACTGGACGAAGCGGGACAGGCCGTGAAGCTATATCCCGGGGGTGTTCCCCCAAAAAACTGACTGAGCGGGGGGGGTGGTGGGAAGCCTTCAAAGTGTGGAAGGGGGGGAGAGACTTCCTTCCATGGGAGGCAAGGAGGGAAAGGGTGGCTGGGGATTTGGGAACACTCACGCACAATCTGGGACGACGATGGGCGCTGGAAAAGGGGACTGGGAGCTAGGCCCTTCCTGGTTCAGAGAGGCAGCTGGCAGCGCAGCACACCTTACTACGTACAGATGCTGCGTAGGGAGGGAGTACCTACATGGGGGAAGCTGGGCTCACCTCAGATGGCGGCGGGGTCGCCCAGCGGTCGCGGTCCACTAAGACGAGGTGAACAGGGTGAGGCGAGCTGCATGTGAAATTGGCAATTGCTGCAATTGGGACGAAAAGGAACTCGACGGGCAGCAGCTACGGCCATCCCTGTAGCTTCCCTGGTCCGTTGTTTCCACCTCAGCTCCCATGGTCCAAGTGTCCGACCGGCCACCGCGGCACCCTGTCGAAATTGCCCGCGCTTACGTTTGGATGCCTTATTGTATGCTTACCTAACATTTCATACTCACCTTGCACACTGCACTTTCTTCCCATCCATCATCCACTCTTACATAGTAGGTATCCATACTACCTACCTTATGCCATGCATTTTCTCGGCCATGGTTCAGCTCTTTTCTCGCTTCTGCAAGTCACTTTTGAGTCTGGAGCCTTGAGTCTCGAGGTCAGTGAGTGCGCCCAATGCCACCATCCGCAACGTCCCATGTGGAGATCAGCCCGGCTGGCCTCCCCGCTCCAGCGCTCCCTCGCCAACACATCCTTACCGCCTCTTTCATGGGCCTTTCTTTTTCGAATCGACGAGACGTGTCGAAGCCGTCACACAAAGATGCGATACGCTTCATCTGTTGATTCATCATTGACTCACCAATGGCTCCTCTAATTCTTATGGTCTGATCCACCCCCCTCGCGTTTTTCATCTCTTCTCCAACACCTCAAGACAGAGTAAACCACAGCGGCGAACAGGGATCTGCATCGTCGTCCTGCAGCCTACTGCAGCCTGTCTAAACAGGTCACCTGCGGCAACACGTGTAACCACTCTCACTGTCACCCTCTGCTGTTCTGCTGTGCTGGGAGATTATTCATTGGCGACCTCTCCAAAGTACCGCAGAGCGCTACAAAGTCACAGACTGTGAGAGATTCCTAACCCAGTTGTGATTGGGCCGCTGACCGTAGGCCACCGCGTGAGCCACAGTCGCAGACATCGGCAGATCGGATATCGCGATGGCGCCAAAAAAAAAATTTGATCCTGAAGAGGGGCGAATTTCCCGTCTGCGCCTGCATGGCGGCCTGAAGCAGGGCGCTGGCTGGTGTCACTCGAAATCGAATGGGTGCCACAGCTTTTCCCAAGTCTTCACAACCTCTCGCGGAGGCAAGTCGTACTTAAAGCTCCCAGCCTAAGGTAGCTTCTTTCCGCCGGAGATCCACATTTGCCGTGTTGTCCGTCGGCCCCACTCTCGCCGACTCCCCGAGCCCGCCGGCCCGGAATCCTGATTTTACGGCCCTCTCGGCAACCATGGCGGCGACCATGGAAATCATGTGGACCGCTTTCCAAAAGTGCTATGAAAGGAATACAATCGCATCTTCTGTTCTAGCCGACTCCGAAAATGTTCTAGGCCTGTCGGGGGATTAAAACTCTAGCAACGGCTTAGTTCCGAAACCATGGGTTAATCGTCTGGCCAAACCAAAAGGTGTCGGAACGATCCCGAACATGGACCCTATCCAAATCCCTATGGCTTTCAGCTCAACCTTCAACGCCATGATAAAAGCGTTTGATCTTTTTCGGAAACTGCAGTCATGCTGTCATTATTCACCTTTGTATCAACATATTTACATTACTCAGATAATTCTCTATCTTTAAAATGGTCGTGACGCAAATCCACAACGTTCTTGAACGCCTAAGACAAGAACATTTCGTCGCCTCCATAGTCTTCGCCGCTGCAGCTACCGCCGCACTTCTAACCACAATATTGCTTCAGTACTTCAAACCAGTCGGAAAACGCAGAGGAAAAGATGGAAGACGTCCCGTTCTACCACCAGGCCCCGAAGGCGTTCCCCTGTTCGGGAACCTGCTTCAAGTCAGTGCCAGTAAAGGAGACCCCTACAACAGAGGCGTACGTATCCATCTCTTCATGTGTGGAGCTGTGCGTGAACATTAATCTAACGTCTGATCCAAAATACCAGCTCCTCTCCATGGCAAAATACGGAGAAATGACCACCCTTCACCTAGGCTCAAAGACCCTAGTCCTCCTCAACAGCAGCCGCGTCGTCAGCGAAATCATCGCCAAGCGAAGCAGCCAGACGAGCACCCGAACCCCCATGCCCATCTCCAACGACATCGTCGGCCGCAACCGCAAGTCCCTCATCATGTCCCAAAAGGACTGGGCCGAGCCCCGGCGCGTCATGCACTCCCTCCTCAGCGGCACCGCCCTCCGCCAGTACGGCGAGTTCCAGGAGCTCGAGAGCACCCAGATGATGGCCGAGTACGTCTTCAAGCCGGGCATGTGGTACCGCCACCACTACCGCTACGCCAACTCGGTCATCCACCGCATCGCCCTCGGCGAGCGCCTCGTCAAGAGCGAGGAGGAGCTCGTCGACATGCAAAACGCAGTCACCTTCTTCGTCGGCTCCATCGGCAGCTCCATCATCGACTGGTTCCCCGACCTCGCAAAGCTCCCGCGCTTCCTCCAGCTCTGGCGCCCGCACTGGGAGGCCCTCGGCCAGTGGAACTACGACCTCTACGACCGCTGGTACAGCCCCATCGCCGCCAAGGTCGAGAACGGCACCGCGCCCCCGTCCTTTGTCCGCGACACGCTGCTCCACCCGGACACCAAGTACAAGGGCGACCACGTCGACGGCATGTACGTCGCCATGCAGCTCATCGAGGCCGGCAGCGACACCACCCGCGAGGCTCTCAACATCATGACCATGGCGGCGCTCGAGTACCCGGCCGTGTTCAAGGCGGCGCGCGCAGAGGTCGACGCCCTCTGCGGCGTCGACGAGCAGGCCCGTCTGCCCACCCTCGCCGACATGGACGACCTGAGGTACATTTGCGCCATGGCCAAGGAGATCCTGCGCTGGCACGTCATCTTCCCGCTCACGCCGGATCACACGACGTCCGCGGACATGGAGTTTGAGGGGTACTATTTCCCCGCGGGCACCGGGTTCGCCATCAACGGGCCCGCCGTCGCCAACGAGTGCGAGGATCCGGACGAGTTCAAGCCCGAGAGGTGGCTGGACGGTCACGAGGCGGATATCGCGCATGGGTTGTGGGCTTTTGGCGGCGGACGGAGGATATGTGTGGGATACCGCCTGGCTCAGCGTAGCATGTTTTTGAATATCGCTAGGCTGGTTCAGTGCGTCGACTACAAGCCTGTGAGTGGTTTTCCCTCTTTGTCCCTCGAATTCGGATTTTGTAACAGCACTAACTAGAGACCTCCTTCTAGAACGGACCGTACAACAGGAACATCCTGAACCTGGAGGCCACGGGCGAGCCCTTCCCCGTCAAGGTCGACATGAGGAACAAGCATTACGAGTCTCTCATCCTGCGAGAGGCTCAGGTTGCTGGTGTTTTGGAGGACGCTAAACTGATGCGGGACTAAATTAAATGCTCGCCCTCCCCCTTTTCTATAGAAACACTTTTGAATGTGGCATTTGAATCTCGTGCCTGCCTCTTCTGCGCGGTGTAAGGTAGATTCGTAGTTATATTCTACATTATCAAAGTCCATCGAGACAGTGAGAGTATTCACTGATGCTGTATAATAATACCGTGTAAAAGATATCGAGAATCGCCCGAGCAGCCAGCAAAGGTAGAAATTAAAACGAATTCTACATTATCACATACAAAGCAAAGAAAGCTCTGCTTCTTTTGTTACCACTTTGATGTTGCCTCTCTTTCTCTCTGTCCCTCTGTCTCTCCCTCTTAAAAAGTCGCTCCACTTTCTATCACGAGTTCAAAGTCTCGTAACCCATCACGTCCCACCCGCGAAAGAAAGACATAGGATCAGGCTCGAGAAGCAGCGAGACATCGATATCCGCCGGGAGCGACCAGCTCTCCTCCAACCCCGACGCGCAATTCATCTCAGGGTCCATCTGTTGTCCCGATGGTTCCCTAGCTATAGTAAACAAAACATACCGTGTCAGCTTTGCTGTCATGACGGCATACCCATTTGAGCGAGAAAAACAAAAAGGCTCACCTGCTTGCAATTGCGTGACGGCCCCGTCGATCTTGCGCAGCAGATCCAGCGACTTGCGAGCCGAAACGCTGAACGCCGCGATGCCCTGCAGAATGCCCTGGCATTGCTCCCACGATGCAGACGTTGCTGTGTGGTCCAGCCCTGTCCAGAGGCGCGGACAGAGGCGGCAGACGATCAGGACTAAGCCGGCGGCACAGGCATCTGTGATGTTTATATGATCTCGCGTTAGCCATTTTCTCTGCTTACTATACTCAAATGAGGGCCAATCGCCTTGGGGAATCAAAGAGAAGAAATGAAGGTGGAAGTGTCTCACACAAGCTATTCCACCACCACGCCCCCGTCGTGTCCGTCTGATACGAGCCCTGCACTAGATCAATGAGCTGCATGGCCGCGTCTACACACGCCCTAGCACACTCCGTCAGGAACGGAGCCCTGAGGCCCTTGTCCCGCGACCTGGACGCTGCTTCCGATGATGGGCGGCCACTGGCGGTGTCCCGATGAGGTCGGGCGTACTCCGCAGAGAGATCGGTGAGAATCGGCCTGTGGAGCATGAGGCGGAGATACAAGAACCTATATTCAAAGAAGCATCCCCCATATTCAGTCCCCGGCTCTCGTCTGATATCGAGTACACAAGAATGGCGGCGCGTACCTTGCGTGTAGAACGTGCTTTTGCGTCGCGAGGATACGGAGGTCATCTGGAGACGAGACCCCGTCCAGCACGGAAGCTTCAGACTCGCCTCCCCACGAGAGGAGCGGCGGTACCAAGTCCTCAAAGTCGGTTAATTTGGAGTCGAGCTCGACAATGGCGTCGAAGCTGAGTCCTCCTATGCCTCCTCCTCCTCCTCCTCCCCGCGTGCCGCAACTTGCTCTCTGGGCGGGATAACGGTTCCGCCACGCCTGGTAGACTTGTGAGAGGATGTTCTCGAGTATCAGGCTCAGCTTGAAGCTTTGGGTGATGAACTCCAGCTTGGGCTGCTCGGGACTCTGGTCTGCGCCGGAATGAGATCTGGAGAGTAGTTCGTTTGCTGATAGATTGGACGTGACGGTAGGTCGACCGAATGTCATGCTCACGAGGCTGACAACATGTTAGCCGTTACTACCTTTTTTCTCATGGTCCCAAATGACCCTGACAACGTAGATAAACGACGATAGGGGGGCAACTCACGTATCGAGAATAACACAAACCTGCCACGTCCGCTGCCTAACGTCCATCTCTAAAGTGAACCCTCCCTCCTCCTCCGCCCCAAGGCCGGCCCCCATATCCCGCGCCGCCACAACATCCATATGAAGCCCAAGCCCCTGCGCAATCCGACACGCGATCCCAACGGCATTCCAGCACCGGTCGGGAAACGGCGTCCCCTGAAAGACCAAGCCGCACAGCAACAGCGTCTGCACGACGCCGAGGTTGTTCTTCTCGAGTAGGTCGACGCTGAGGCACTTGCGGCTCCGCAGCAGAAAGACCTCGATGCTCTTTGCCTTTTCCGCGCAGGTGAGGTCCGCAAAGTTGCAGGCGAGCGCAAAGATGGAGTTGAGGGCGCTGTGGAAGACGATCGTGGTGGCGTCTGCGCCGGGGGAACATCCCAGACCTACGCCGCGGAAGTCCGTTTCTCCTGCTTCGGAGGCGGCTGCTGCTGCTGCGGTTGTCGAGGTCGTCGGTTGCCAGAGGGATTCGTAGGCTCTTTCAAAGGCCGGTCTGTGGAAGACGGGGTAGAGGTAGTGTACTCTCTGAAAGTACAGTTGAAGAAGATAATCGGCAAACGGGCGAGGCGGTAAGAGGAACTTGTCAAAGTCGGCGTATAGAGAAGACGGCGTCGAGAGGGACGGCAGTGCCTGCTGGCTCCGAAATGGATTGGATGACTGCACTCTTGCAGGGGCCGAGTTCATCGCGCTGTAGGCCTCCTTTAAGAACGCAACGGCCGAGGAGCTGCCGTAGAAGTCGGGCTCCGCCAAATTGTTAGGCGAGTCCTCCAGATCATCCTCGGCGAGAATGGTGCCCATAGCCGTCACCCGTCTCGCCTCGCTGGAGCCGTCGACGCCAACGGACGAGTACGGCGATGGCAGCTGGGCTGCCGCTACCGCTGCTTGGTCGTCGGATGTGTCCATGGCGCAGGCGGCGTCTAGTGCGGTAAAGTCCTGGGTTCTCGCAGCGGTGGATGAGACATTGTCAGCGGCGGAGCCGTGAGCGTCTTGCGCAGTGACTTCGAGAGTGTTGATGTCGATGCCATGTGATGTGCAAGCCTGTTCCAACTTGCGGATGCGCTCATGAAGCGTCTTTGTATAGCTTTTTCGTAGGTAAGCGGAATGAAGGAAGAAAACAGCAAAACATCATATCATGAGAAACTCACTCATCGCTACATGCCGTTCTTGCATTGTTCACTGTGTAGACGCAATGCTCGAGGGCCAGTGATCGTCGTTGACACGTCGAGCATATGGGCTTGCCTCCATCGCAGCGTGCCTTGCGCTCTCGGCATGGCTCACATGCCAGGGTAATTTTGCGACGACGCTGCCGTTCCTGTCGCCCAGGAGGCATCGCGAGGTGCTGTGTCCTGCCGTGACGGTCGTGTGTGCTAGCTTTGAAGATGTTGAACTTTTGGTGAGAAGCATGCGCTCCTGCGTTAACAAGTTGTTAACACCGGAATATTCTCATGGCTGGGTGAAATTGTGATTGTCGGAAACTTGAGAACAGATTAATAGAAGTACTGACAAAGTACCCATACCAAGAATATCAACAACCCTACGGAGATGTCGGATGGAGATGTTCATCACGGGGTACCATGGAGTGTACAAGGCTCAAGTGAGTTTTGCGGGGTTGAACGGCTATTCCCTTGACGTGCAGATCGGACCGTGAAGTTCCCCGGCGGAAGCGGGCCACCGGGACGAGTTGAAAGCCCACCGGGGACTTAGCAGTTACGCTATGACTATCACCACCACAATGATTGGTGCGTATTTTCGCCGTTTGCCTCGACAGGGTGCAACTGCCGGACCCGTCAACTACCTTACTTACTTGTATTGACGAAATACCTGGCATGCCCCAGATTTGGTGGTCAGATCTTGGTGAGCTTATGTGTTTATTTCGATGCAAGTAAAGTAGGACACCTGATCGAAGGATATGGGTGCAAATGGATCGACTATTCTGCGTGGAAATCTTAGATGCATTAATTAAAGAAACACTGAAAACCCTGGGAACGATTTGGCCGCTAACAATTTGAGGAAATACATAATGACGGCAAGAATGATTTACTTGGGAATAGAGGAAACAAGCGCATCAAAAGAAATCCGAGCCTGGGCTACAGCCGCAACAAAGCCTGTCTTGTCAAATGTCCCCCAAGCCGCGAGACCAAGCAATGTAGTCAGGACGAAAAGCAATGCGCGCGGCTGCCTCTTTTTGATCGACGAGACCGAACTCGTTTGTCCCTGTAACGCAAAGAGTCAAATTAGCTTCACCATTCACTCAAGAAAGTTCGTCGTCTCTACTCACGCTATACTCCCAGTCGGACCACACCGGAAACAGACAGCGATACCAAAAGTAGCCCTGCGTGTAGGGATAGCTCATGGCGTTCCACGTCTTGGTGCCGTCCGTCGACATTTGAAAGTACCAGCTGCTGCACCCCGAGTTCCATACCCTGTGCTGCAAGGCGTCTTGGATGGTGTCGGTGTACGCCTCCTCGGCCTCACGTTTGATCACCGCAGTGCTCGCTCTGCCTTCCAGCGCGGGCTTGAAGACGCGCAGGGCGTAGTTGATGGAGTTTTCCAGGGCCATGATGGACGACGTGTGTCCCGTCGCAGCGTTGGGGCCTTTATGGTGTTAGCAGTCAGGGGAGAACTCCTCAAGGGAACACGAACATACCCATAATCATGACAAAGTTGGGAAAGTTGTTCATCATCGAACAGTTATACCCCTCGGGCCCCCCAAAGGACTTCCAATGGCTCGGTATCGTCTCGCCATCGCGCCCAATCACATTGACCCCGGCAACGAACTCGTTGGTGTGGTATCCGTTGGCCAGGATAATCACGTCGGCCTCAATCAGCCCCTTTGCCGTCCTGACGCCCTCCGGCACAATCTTCAGCGCCTTCTCGTTCGTCAACGTCAGATTCTCGGCGTGCAGGCTCTTCAGGTATCCGGAATCGAAGATGCGCCGCTTACACCCAATCTCGAACTCCGGGATCAGTAGGTCGTGGTACTTGGCCGGCGCCGTAGACCGCATATACTCCTCCGCAACCTTCTTCTGTCCAGCTCGATACTTGCTCGCAGCTTCCGTCAGCGGGAACCCCTGCAACGAGCTCTCCGCCGCGGCAAAGACGATGAAGCGCAGCAGCCGCGCCAGGCCCGGCACGGTCTTGAGCCCGGACCGAATCACATCAGGCACCTTTCTGTCAATGGGCGGGAAGATCCAGTGCTTCGACCGCACAATCTGCGTCAGCGACTTTGTCTTGTGGACGACGCTCGGGACGACCTGCGCGGCCGTACACCCGTTGCCAAAGAGCACGACCCTCTTCCCCTCGAGCTCGATGTCCGGACGCCACCGGCCCGTGTGCTCAATCACGCCCTTGAAGGTGTCCGCGCCGGGAACGTCAATGTCGTTGGGTGTGACGAGCGCGCCCGTGCCGGCGAAGAGGAACTGGCACTCGTGGAAGAAGGTGGCGCCCGACTTGAGGTGGCGGATTGAGAGGCGCCAGCGGGCGCGCTCCTCGATCCATTCGCAGCGCTCGACGAGCACGTCGAACGACATGTTGCGGACGAGTTTGTACTTGTGGGCCACGTTGTTGAGGTACTCCCAGATCTCAGAGTACGTCGGCAGGACTCGCGTCCAGTGCGGGTTGGGCTCGAAGGAGAAGCTGTACAGGGCGCTGGGGACATCGCAGGCGCATCCTAACGAGACACCAGAGGCCGTTAGCTCGTTGCTCTGAAAGACTGTATAGGGGGTAGATAGTCAAGAATGGGATGTCCTAGACCTACCCGGGTATCGATTGATGAACCAGGTTCCACCTAGCTGGCTATGCCGTTCAAAGAACTTTACGTCTTCGATTCCGTACCATCGCTTCAGCGTTGCTCCGAGGCCAATAGCTGCAAAGCCGGAGCCGATGCACGCGAATTGGCTGTAAGAGACATTCTCAGTCTCGCTGACGTCGATAGTTTTCGCCATGTTGAAAACCGTCAAGATCGAGAGAATGAAGTTGGTATCGGACGCTGGTAAGAGGCAAGAATTCAGTTATAAGTAGGATTATCGAGAGGACATGCAAACCAGCTGTGGAGGCATGACCATCTCATTGTTTTATTCTAGACACACCTTACACCTCATCCTTCCATCAGCCGTCGTCCATCGTTACCGTTGATGTGATGTGATCAGTCTCCGGATGGTTTCCGTAAATGGACATCTGGGGGGCTGCGGGCGCGTTCCTATTGGTCGGGACGATTCCGACTAAAGGCAAAGTCAGGACCCAAGGAGATGCGACGGTCACTTCGAAGCTGCGACCCCCTCGTCGTCATCTTCGATCTTCGCACTTCCGAAGCTTATGATTCGGTCTTGGCAGCAAGTCTGGAGCTGATGGAATTGATGAATTTGTTGTGTGCGTCCCTCGGCTTGAACATAGTCTTCACAGTAATGGCTTGGGATGAGTGCCAACCGTCAAGGGCGCATTCTCACGCCACCCACGCGATTTGCACAGAGTTATGTAAACCGATATCGCGATGATAGGCCCATCAAGTTAGATCAAACAACGAACATTTGTAACTTGAGAAAGTATCCCTTCTGGGAGTAACACAAGACTGCAAGGTCTTGTAAATTTTGTTCGATATGCAAAGTACTCAGCCAATTCGGTGCGATATGTGAATATTGGATTATATTCGGAACCCTTGATACCGACTATTTACATCTTCAAACGCTCTTGAGAATGCGTAAAAGCAAAGATAAGGAACAGCACCGCATCTTTCCGAGCGCGTAAGCACGCATATTCCTCCTTCTTCAGAACCGACTCCGTCATCACGCCGACTTCACACCTCCTTTCCCACCTGAAACCTCCAACTTTCCAGTCTTTCCATCAACCTTTTGATACCCCTTGAAGTTCACCTTGAGCCCCGCAGTACTCTCCCTCGCAATCCTCCAAAACCACTCGGGAGAACTCCTCTATTTCAACATTAGCAAACTGAATATCCTTCTTGGAGAAAGGATTAGGATAAGAGAGAGGAGGAAAAAGCACTCACCAACATGGCAATGTACCGCATGATACCCGGCAGGTAGATAACCCGCCCGTACCCGCTATATAACGCCTCCGTAAACGCCCCCGCAACGGCATCCGGCTCGAGCAGCGGGAACACAAAGGCCGACTGTCCCGTCTCGCCGCTGAACATGGCCGTCTTGATGAAGCTCAGTATACCCAGCGTCAGCCGGACCTTGGGCGCGTTGTGGATGTACTTCAGTTCCAGCTGAAGACTCTGTTGTTTCCCCAGATATCAGTCAGATATCTTCTCTGGAGGAGCTTCATCTCGCGCAGTCCAGCTCGTCCCATATGTTACGCATCCATGACAGAAGAAACATACCTCGTGAAGAGCCGCCAACCCGGCCTTTGTCGCCGCATAATCCGCAATCTGCGCAGGCGGCATCACAGAACTCATCGAGCTCACATTCACAATGTGCCCGTGATTCCTCCTCACCATGTGCGGAAGAAACTCCTTGATCAGGAGAAACGGCGCCAGTAGATTCGTGTTAATCGTCAGCTCTACGTCGGCATACGTCCCCTCCATAACGGTGGCACCGCGCCCCAGCCCGGCATTATTCACAAGCACCGTCGGGTCCCCGACCTCGGCGCGGATGCGCTGGCAGAGCGAGCGGATGTTTTCCTTGTCGCTCAGGTCGCACTGGTAGTAGTGCAGATTTGTCCCCGTCCCGGGCGCGGGCTGCCACGCCATGGGAACGTAGTCCACGACAACGATCGTCGTCTGCGGGTTCCTGGCGAGGAGGTCCCGCACCACGCCCGCGCCGATGCCGATGGCGCCGCTGGCGCCCGTGATGACGACGATCTCCTTGGACCAGTCCCACATCGAGTCCGTCGTCCAGTTGTTGGCTGTCCCGCGGGTGAGGTACTCGTGGAGCCGGAGGCCAACGCCGGCGGTCGCGAGCACGCAGGAGGCAAGTTGGAGTTGGGCGAGGGTGAAGGGGATCTTGTTCGCGGCGAGGACGGCTTGGTCTAGGGATAGCGTGGCTGCTCCTGCTACCGCGGCGACGAGGGCCGGGTTGAGGATGGTCCCGCGGAGGAAGATGGCGACGGTGTCGATTGTAAAAGGCATAATCTCTGGTGGTGGGCAGGCGGGACTTGAGGGAGAGTGTGAATTGGACAAATGATACACTTTGCAATAATTCTTGAATCATTATTGAGCGATCTGGGCCCCCATATAGGGTGGCATGAAGACGAGCATCGAAATAATAATCGTCTCTCCTTCGTCCCGCCTCCGTGATCCTATCCTCTTCCCTAGACCGTTCGCCGATGGGTCCGTCCCGGACCCCACATCGGGTTGGTTCCGAAGGCAGCCCCCGGTTCAGCTTTCTGGAGCGGTTCCGTATGACTCCAATGCCCGTCCTCCACAAAAGCTTGTCAAGAGAGAACAGCCGGAGGCGGGGAAATAGATCTTGGTTTCCCCATATTTTGGGACGGGTTCTATATTCTCCATGTCGGCCCGCCGCGGAGTCCGTCAGTGCAGCAACTCCCCGCTTTATACCTTGGCTCAGTAAACTTGATTACCTCGGCACGCATTTGCACCAACCTTTTGAAGCTGCAAACTGCCTTATTTCAGTCGTTCCCAAGAACATCTAGACTCTTTCGAAAGACTTAGCTGTGGGCTCCTCTTTTCACACCAGCAAGGAACTCGGCTCCGGCATCTCGGATCAAATCGGCAACCATGGCCCAAGCACAATCTGGTCTCCGACCTCTCCAGAAGATCGGCCTCGTCTTTCACATACTATGGGGTAAGTACTACAATCGACAAGCTACATGACGTAGAACTCACCGAAGAAAACAGCTTTCCCTACCTTCTTTTCAATCGTAGCTCTCGGGCTACCACGCGCCATCCGCCGCGGCATCCCGCTGAGATTCTGGTTCTTGGCCGCAACCTACCGCATCGTCCTGGGCGTCTTCCAGCCACGTGAGATTCAATTCCTTGCCACTCCGACCCTGCAAGTCTACTCGGCCTGGCTCGCAAAGCAGAAAGTCAAAGAGTCCAAGAACGCCAACACCGCCGCCCTCGACCGACTACACCACGACGTCGAGCCTCTCGGCACCGGGGCCGATATCAATCATGTCGCAGCCGCCGGCGACAGCGGAAGCATCATGTGGCTTGGCAACCGCAAGAAAGCCTCCAAATTCGTACTCTTCTTCCACGGCGGGGGGTACGTCGCCCCGCTGGCCCCGGGCCACCTCACCTGGTGCTGGGAATGCTACGTCAACGGCAAGCCCGGCGATAGCAACGGAGATGAGGTCGCCGTCGCGGTCCTGCAATACACCCTCTGCCCGGGTGCTACGTACCCAACGCAGCTGCAGCAGGCCGTGGCGGCCCTCAATCACCTCCTGCGATCCGGCGTCACGCCAGAGAATCTCATCATCGGCGGCGACTCGGCTGGCGGGAATCTCACAACCCAGGTGCTCTGCCATCTCCTCCGTCCCCACCCCGACGTCCAGCCTGTTCGGCTAGGTGGCCCCCTTGCCGGCACGTTCTTGGTCTCCCCTCTCCTCACGCTTCGCACCGATGCCGTCTCCTATCGAACAAATCACCGTGTCGATATGCTCTCAGCTGCCATCGTCGCCAAGGCTGGCGACTACCTCTTTGCCGACGACCATGTAGCGAAGCAAGCCACGAACCCGCACGAACCGCTGGCACTAGATGGCGACATGGAGTGGTTCGGGGAGATTCATACCATCGCCAAGTCAGTATACGTGACGGCCGGCGCGCAGGAGGTGTTCTGCGATGACTCGCGGGTCTTTGCGGAAGCAGTCAGGAGACGGAATCCCGGGTTGGACGTCCAGCTGGAGGTAGCGTCCACCGAGGTCCACGATGGAATTTTGATCGAATCCGAGTGCGAAACGATCGGGGACGCGTCTCGGAGGATGAGGAACTGGGCGTCAAAGTGTTTGTTATGATCTTCTGTCGATCAATGATTGCACGTGATACCACCACCGCCTTTGATGAACCTTAGATGCCAAGTGCACGTCGGCGTTTCGTTCTGCTCATTCCTCTGCTGCCGCGTCGTTCGTCTAGTGCGCTCGTGAGAACATAACATGTCTGTCTCTCATATCCGTGGCTGAAATCCTCGTGGTAATATAGCGCGCTGGTCGATGATTCGATATTGGGCCAATTCCTTAGCCAGCCACCTGCATGCACTCGCAAGCAAGGGCGTTCTTTTCCCGTCATATCAGACTCGGGGTGAGCTTTCTCATGACTCCAAAAAGAAGCATCTGACGTGCAGCAGTACAACTTTGTCCTGTTGCGACGCGCCCGTGAGTCCGGTTCCTCGATTCTGAATTGACCATCTCCAACAGGCAAGGGTGTCCGAACCGAGGTCACGAAGTGCATACCGCGGGTAGTCATTGGGAGGGTACAGTTGCGGCCGGGTACCCCAAATCCTGGATGCACCGCGTCAATTGTTGTCAACACTCGCCCACAAGGGACAAACCGAACAGGTTGAAATGATTCTGGACCACGAGACGGAATTCGAAATCTCGTCCAGTCGTGTCGCAATAAAAAAGGAGCTTCGCCGATTCGTCGCCCTACAAGATCTGCCTCCAAAGAAAAGGGCCAAGACTTTGGCACGTTCGTTCGGGGTACGGTAGCGGCGGCCCCCCTCATCTCCCCTCACCACTGGGGAGTTTTCATCATGTAAATATCGCGTAACCGTTTTCCCTTTTCTCAAAGAGCCGCGTGCCCAGCGCCAGCATGTCCAGCATGACACTGCCTTTTCATCTCGTTTCCCGTTCCCGCGGGTGCGGGAAGCCCAAAAAGACGAACCGAAACGAACCCCCGTTCCACAAAAGCCGAGTTGAGGCTCTTTGGGGCTTGCTTTGACGACATATTGTCTCTCCCCAGGGTGGGAAGACGTCAACGGCTGCGACAGGGCCTCTGGGTAGAGCGAGGAGGTGTGTAGTTGTTTAAATCAACGTCGACATTGGAAGATTTCGTGAGGAAGGCACTCACAAGGCACCTTCCTGACAGGGGCAGGTGCCTTACCTTACCTAAGTAAGCCATTCAGGTTTCCACATCTGCAAACTGCAGGTGCTCCTATCTTATCGCAAATCAGACCGTTGCACCTGCCACACCACACCACACACCCAGAAGGCACGCCAACATGTCGTTGCGCCCGCAACACCCGCCAAACCACCACGAAAACCCACCTCTTGCGGGCGCAAGATCCAAACTCCCGGGCCCTTGATGCGTTTCCCTCTGCCTTTGCCGCATCGCCATCGCGCAACGGGAAGGATCAACTCTTTTCTTTATCTAGGGGATTTTTATTTTAGACATGTACCTAGGTCCCTAGAGGGACGAACCGCGTCCCGAGATCTGGGGAAAGGGAGAAAAAAGTCCCGTCGAGCGCCCGCTGGATCTTGGGGTGCAGCGAAAGCTTGAAGCCAGCTGGAAGAGCCGCATCTTGAATATGACTTCATATTTCGACATCGCGACTCCCTCTCTTGCTCTTGCCCCATACACTATGCTGCTCATTTGTCTGGTAGCAGGTGCGTATGGCTCGTTGGGTCCTGCCAAGACATTGAAGGTTGACCCCCCCCCCCCCCCGTGGCACCGCACTTTCTTGCCTAACAATTTCCCACTTGGCGCCCTCCTTCCTCGTCCATTTTCTCCTCTGCGGCCTCTCCTTCTCTCTCAGTCTCTCTCCGTCTCGTCTACCTTTGCCCGATAATCCTCCCACGTTTCCCTCTTTTCCAATCTTTCAGCTCGCATGACCACCATCTCTCTTCACTCCCACTTCTCCTATTCAATTGCAAAGATAAGGAACCAAAGGAACTGGCGGCATCAATCAGCCTTCGTATCCATATCGACCCCCCCCCCCCCCCCCCCCCCCCCCCCCCCTCCCCTCCCCCCCCCCCCCCCCACCCCCCCCCCCCCCCCCCCCCCTCCCCCCCCCCCCCCCCTTTTCAATTGGAAAAAAAAGGAACCAAAGGAACCGGCGCCACCAACCACCCTTCGTTCCCCATCCCCCCCCCCCCCCCCCCCCTAGTCTTCTCACTTCCGAATTTCCCCTTCACCCGCGCGCCCTTTCATCAACCGACGTCCAATGCAAGCCGCCAAACCCCCATGATGCATGCTCGACTACGTAGTAAGGTATATCACACTAGCTCGCCCCGACGGCGTGAACGTTCCCAAAAAGTGGACATATTTCTGAGATGGGCAGACCATCTTTGGGGGTCGCGACGCCGGTCCGCCCACTCAGCGTTCAATTCCTTATCTCTTGGACATTCGGCCGTGGGTGGGGTTCACTAAGGCGACAAGCCCCCCCGACGTCGGTAGCGTGGGCGAAAAAAAGGGTGCGTCGACAGGGGGCTTCGATGTTGATGAGAGGATCCTTGACAAGTTGACGATGCCGCCCCATCCAACGATCCCACCCCCCTCGAAAAGAAGACCAGCGTGGAGCGTCAATTCCCGATCGTTTACACTAGGCTACAGTACGTACTCATTCCCTCTTCTTCGACATGTCTTTATGATTAATCGCCTCGATTACCAACGGTAACGGTGTTGTCTACATCCGCTCGGAAATAGTCGCACCCTTCTCCAGAACATTAGCATCAGAGCTGGCGCCGACGTCGGCTTACCGGTACTGTGCCGCGGCGCTTAGTCTGTCAATTTTAGAAAGCAGAAACGAGAGTCATTATCCGAAGCTGAAAGATGTCCCCAAGCAGAGGACACAGACATACTGTTCGGTGTCCCGGGGCGCATTGTATGCAGAACATCATCCCACTCGGCGTCTCATCCCAAGGACCCAAGTCGCGTACGAATACGTATGCATGCTGTTTGGGACGGCCGGCAGAGGGGACATAAGATGCGCGAGATGAACGTTCCAATTTGGGCAGAGAGATGGAGGACCAATTGGATCCGCGGTCTCCGAGCCAAACTGGCCGAACCAATCTTAACCACAACGTGGTCGACCGGACGTGGTAGCCAAAACGGAACGAATAGATGAGCACCAAAGCAACCCAAGCAACAAATAACGTAGCTCGTCCGGGGAACTGCAGCCCAATTATCCGCCTGGAAAACTCAGTGCCTCGAGTCGCGTGTAAAAAGTCAAACCCAAAACTCAATCATCGAGACAAGAGTCGGGGCGAGAGGGGAGACGCACTGCCGACTCGACAAGAGTAAGAGTATGAGTACCCAGTGAGACTGGGTGTGAGTGAGCAGGAAAACCCGGGCCACAACCTGATGTCTACTACAGTAGTCGGATTTGCCAACGAATCAAACATGCCAGAAGCAGAAATAGAGCTTGCGCCAAGGCTGATGGCCGTGTTTCGATCCTTTCCCCCTCACCCTCCACCCCCATCTGCACAACCTTCCTGACATTCCACAAACTTGTGACACTTGACCGCAATTGTCCAGCTCTGCCAAGCATGTACACATACAGAAGTGGTGCGCTGTTTTTGCGTTCACTCTCTCTGCCTCTATCTTCTTGGTTGTCATTTCCGGTCGTACAGGAGGATGAGACATTCGGTAACACCGCATGCATCCTCGTCGTAATACCCCCCTCTTTATGCGCTCTCTCGATGCTTTCGTCCCATTACACTGTCAAAGTTCTTCACTTGAAGGGAAATGCGCTTGAGCGTTTGGAATAGATCAGAGTCGCTTGTATTTGGCTTCTCATTACGGATATACCATGGGGTATTATACAACAATTAAAAAAAAAAGTATCTGCTCGCTTCGCATTTTGCGGGATATCCTTCCAACGGGGAAAACAGCTTTAGATCAATCCCATCCTGTAAATAACGCCTCGCTTTTGGAGCCCATACGGCACCCAAAAATTCAAACCAAAGTGACCAACTCTTCCTCGTGGCACGGGCCCCAATTTACAGAGAAGGAGCCTTCTCGCTCCTGATCTCGCCTTGGGGCGTCGCAGGCTTGGGCTCGTCTGATCCGCTGCTTGCTCCATTGTTGGCCATGTGCTGATGCTCCTCAATTCCGTGCTGGGGAATGAACTTTCCCTCTCCGGCGGGCTCGGCCTGGTGAGGGGTCCAGGCAAGGAAGTCGCGGCGAACCTCGACGTAGTCGTAAGAGAATTCACCGTGCTGGTCGTCGTCCATACCCAGGAGCTCGGCCTCCTCGGAAGCGCGGAGCTTCAGGCCAGGAATCATGTCGATGGCCTTGGCCAGGATGGCAGACATGACGAAAGTGTAGGCGCAGCAGGCGACAATGTAGGCGATTTGGATGTACATGAGCTTGTAGTTGCCGTCAACCCAGCCGCCGGAGACTCCCATGTTGACACCGTCGAGACCGATAATCGAGCTGGAGGCGAAGAAGGCGTTGAAAATGAGACCGACAATACCGCCGATACCGTGCTCGGCGAAGACATCGAGAGAGTCGTCAATCTTGAGGAGGAATTTGACTAAGGGACAATTGTGTTAGAAGTGATCCCATTCGGGCACGAGAAGGGATAGCTTACTCTTGGTGCCGAAGTTGCAAGCAACACCAGCGACAACACCGAGGATGATGGAAGCCCACGGAGTGATGACTCCGGAGGCAGGGGTAGCGGCAACGAGGCCGGAAATGGTGCCGGAGCACCAGCCAACGAGAGACCACTTCTTGGCCAGACGGAAATCGAGAAGGCACCAGGTCATGGCGGCGAACATGGCGGTCAAGCAGGAGTTCCAGCAAGCCATGGCGGCACGGAGGTTGGCACCGAAAGCGGAACCACCGTTGAAACCCAACCATCCGAACCAGAGAAGAATGGTGCCGAGAGTGATGAGGGAGATGTTGTGGGGACGGAAGTTGAGCATCATTCTCTCGTTGCGACGGCCGAGAACCCAGGAGTAGGCGAGAGCCGACATGCCGGAACCAATCTCGACGGGGCCGCCTCCGGCGTAGTCGAGAACACCGTACTTGAAGGCCCAGCCGTTGGCGTTCCAAGCCCAGCAGGCGACGGGGGCGTAGACGAGGGTGGCCCAGAAGAAGATGAAGACCATGCAGGGAATGACTCGGCCGCGCTCGGCGGTGGCACCAGCAGTGAGGGCGGCAGTAACGGCGCAGAACATCATCTGGTAGAAGGAGTAGAGAAGGGCGGGAACGAGAGGCGAGCCTTGGGAGGGAGTAGCGAGAACCTTCATGAGGCCAAAGTGTCGAAGATCACCGATGAAGCCGTTGGTGGCAGTTTCGCTGAAGGCCAGAGAGTAACCCCAGAAGTACCACTGGAAGACGATGACTGAAAAGCTCATCATAACCACCCACAATTGGGAGAGGGCCGACTTTCTGCGGGCGAGACCGGAGTAGAGAAAGGCGATGCCGGGAATCATGAGCAGAACCATGGCGGCCGAGACGAGAATGTAAGACTGGTCACCGGATTGGTACCATTGGTTCAGGTTCGTGGTGGCTATTCACGTATTAGCATCAAAGTCGGTCGAGGCGGGTCCCAAATTTTGTAGGAAGTTGTCGACGTACTGGAATCACCACCGTAATCGGCGTTGGTGCCATTGAACTCCGTAGGAGCTCCAGTATGCGTGTAAGACATGATGGGCGATTGGTGTGCGATATCGAGGTTGGGGCGAGGTGTTCACCAGAGGATTGGATGGCGTAGAAGAGTCAGGAGAGGGGATGAGAGAGTATTATTATTTGTTTCTCAAGAGCAAGCTGTCTCGAATGTGGACAGAGCTGAGACGAGATTGTCGACGGCCAGGGTATGTCGGATTCAAGATGAGACGAATTGCCTGGGTGAAGAGGAAAGAACAGGCGGACAGAAATGGGATGGGAGGGACAGGTAGGATCATATATATAAATACCAGACAGACAGGACAGAAGAGAGAAGGGGTGGCTTCAAGAAGGACGTGGTCGCGGCAGAGGGAGCATGGAATACTGCGGTGATCCCTGGCCATGTCTGGGGGTGTAATTGCCTGGGCCAGCGGAGCTAGTGTGGGCAATCCGCATACGGAGGAGGCGTTGTGGGAGCGGATGGGGAGGCACTGGAGGGCATTGCTCCGTAGGTAGACATTTGACATTGGGCAACGGGTTAATCAGTGGGTGATTTGACAGACAGGAAAGTGTAAGTGAGTTTTGGTGCGGGCAGATAAGAGACACGACACGGGCCATGTTGGGCAAATGATGAACATGTGAGTGGACAAGCATGGTGCGGCGGACGCAGTACGTTAGAGGGAATAAAGTGGGTGCTTCTCCTCTGCTAGAGTCTAGGGACTACGGATAGTACATAGAGACAGAGAAGGAAGAAGGCGGGAAAAGACTGAACCTGACTGAGCGTTCTATCCCGAACTCAATGCCCGTGGGCCCCAAAGCAAAGAAGGCAAAGCATGGCAAGTGCAAGCCAGACCCGGCCGTTCGGGGGAAATCCTGGCCTAGAGACGCCCCTCCCCTGCCACAAGTAGAACCTGCATCGGTACGTACCGCGGAATGTCCTTGCACCTATCGCGCCCCACGCCTTCCTCGGCCGGCCACCATGTCACTGTCATTGTCATTCGCATTAGTCCTGATAAAGTACGTACTCTGATACTCCGTACTGTCTCTATGTACACACTAATCTCAGAATCGAGTGAGCTGAAGCAGGCACTCCCGCCCCAGGCTCCTACACAAGTAAAAACGACGATGAAGATGCAGGTGTAAGTAGGCTTCAATTCTTCTCAGGCGACAGCCCATGGCAGTGGATTCAATGGCAATAGGGTCTGGGGTGATTAAGCTCTTGCTTCGGCTCACTCTCGCCGTCTATGTGGAGGTCTACGGAGTAGGACCCGTGCCAGTACGCGTGTTTGTGTGAGACTTTGGGGCACAAGCTTGTCCATGATCCTCGTCTCCTCCCATTCGCATCGCATCAACCAATTTCTGATGCTGAAATGCCATATCAGCGCCGGCCTGTTCTTTCACCCTAAGCACCCACGGCATCTCTGTCTACCAAGATCAATGGTCTACTACGTATGTAAGTTCAGGCTCAATGAACAGTGATCAGGTCAACCCTCCACTCGGCCGATATCTGTCCCGGCAGGACAAATACCTCACCGGCTGCGACACTGCCACTCCTACCGAACATACAGCAACCAAAATACAACTTGCCAAGCCAAGCCATCGAAACTATCGAGACAGCTTCAACAGTCACGCTTGGCTGCCTCCGTGTCTCCCCCCAAATTCCAATCATCCTCGATCCTTGGCTGTCATCATTGAATCAATCATGAACCAAAAGGAACATCGACCCGAACGGACGGCCAGTCTCCCAGATACGCTTGACAGAACCACAGATAAGGCATGCGATAGGCGCAGCCCAAGCGGGACCTGTCAGTGGTGGACAGTAATTGGGCTGAATCAAAGAAATGCCTTTGGTCCACTCAGAGCTCACTGTGGCTGTTTAGTCAGCCAATTCCATCACGAGTTTGCAAATACCCTCACTCAGTCACTCTCTACTTCCAGCATCCACGCTTGTCATCCATCCCCCCCTGCATCTTCACGGCCCAGCAGTCCGGCAATCACTCGACCCACACGGACACCCTCCACCGATGCAGGCGGGACAAGACCTCACGATGGGGGTGTCGGCCTGGGATACCCCCAAATCCCTCGCTCCCTTTCTTCTTCAGTGGAATTGCCCCAATGGGGTAATCCTCTTCACGACAATTCCCGTCGCGTCCTCCACCCCCAAACCCCCAAATTTCAGCTATTGATCAGGTCAGAGGATGTCTCGACCTTATCGTAAGGCTTGACTTTGCTTTTCAGCATTGGCATTTGCTGTCGGGGTTAGCTCCCAGGAATTCGGTCACTGCCCTTGCTCGAGCACAGTCCTATCGCGGTACTCTCGACCAATACACTTCGATTTGTCTCACATAGCGCACACGATGCCTGCTGCCGACCTCACGGCCAATGATTAAAGCCAACCCACCCCCCACCCACCATGAGGACATGATCCCTCATGCCCATCTGCGCATCAGCTTCAGTCAAGACGCTGAGAGGCGGACGGCCGGCGAGATCGGCCATGCGTTCCTGACAAGACTCTTCATACATGTTGACGCCAACTGACAGCCTAATCTGCCAGAGCCAGAGATAACCTTTGGTGTGGCGCGTACCGTCATTTCAACCGAGCGAGGCTACCGCGACTTTTCTACTAGCTCCAACATTGTTGTGGCATGATTCGAATGCTCTCGGTCAAGTTGCGTTGCAACACCAAGATGACTTCTGGAGCAGGCCGGCCGCTTGACGCCTCGAAAGACTGACCAAATTTCTTTTCTCGAAAAATTCGATTCCGCTCTTTACCCTTGCTCGTAGAGGGTTCTGGCTCTTGCAGCTCCGTTTTCGGCACATGTCACAAGGAAGAAATCGGCTTGCTGGACCCATCGCTCATTCGGAGACGCGCCTCTCGTTGTGGGGGTTGAAATCCATTAGTCTACAGCCTGGCAACCGTTTGCTAACCCTTGAGAGCAAAATTCGCGAGGGGGCATCGCATCAAGACTCCAGCACCCAAGGGAACCGGAGAACGCAGAGAGGCCTTCAAACTTGGCTTCCTCCACCGTGGTCGATCCCAGGCTGGGGCGCTCCGGGAGCTCCAATCAAAGCTATCTATTTGGCTGCATCTCTAACAGGCGCAAATACGGTTGCTTTTGATTCTATTCAACCAATCCCTACCATCATCAACGCCCTTTAATTCTTGAATATTTGGACGACGACTATCGAGTATTGGAAGTTCAGGCGCGGAATGTCACTATCTTCCGGCTCTCACGCTATAATCACTGTTTTCGAACTGCCGTTGTATTTCTCACGTTTGAGACGAGTAGCATCATGGGCTGAGATCGATTCGAAGACTTACCGAAACGCTGACCACGACCCACTACGATCCTCGGTCGCCACGCCTGTATTTGTTAGAGGTGGGAAAACCTGGGCGGTGCTCAAGATCAGCAAAGAGGCGTGCCTCCAAATCAAGCTACTGACATGACCATCAGAAAGACGCTCATTGCACCGGATAAGCGCCTCAAACAATGACATTCTCTAGACACGTTGCGTATTTAACCGAACGATGAGCTAGGTAGACTGGATATTTAGCATCTTGGTGACGTCCGCCTCACGCATCGAACCTGATAAGCTCCTGCGCGACCAGTCGAACGCTTCGCGATTATCTGCATCAAATCGCTGCATGAGCATATGTCATCGCTCTGGAGCATCATGCCCTATCGCGCGCTATCCCCTCCGATACTGCTGCACCCCAGCTTTGGTCCCCCAAAATCTTCTGCTACTGACTGCCGGCTTCGACCTCCTGAGACGGGGGCCTCTATACTAAGTGCGCGGCGATGATCGTGTTCGAGAAGATCCCAACTATTGCCCAGTCCGGGACGACGTCCGCCTACTTGAAACCACCCGACATGTGGGCATCACGGCCCAGAAGTTGGGGGGCAACCGATAATAAAAAAGATGACGTCCAATGTGTGTGGTGCGCCTCTCCCTCCTCCCATCCTAGCGACGCCGGTCGTCCAAGAGAAGAGATTCCCTGTTCCCAGCGCCAGTCGACCTGCGCTAAACCTTAGCCTTATCAGCGCCCAGATGAGCCAATCGGAACCCCGGTCGTTTTGTCAGAGCAAAATGTCATTTTCCTTCTCCGCTAGCGGGAGAGGGATCCACTTCGGGTGCGTTCGCTCCTTTCCGGCAGTCAAAGTGGGTCCGTTCGGGCCGGCCGAAGGCCGTGGGCTTTCCATTCTTTCTCGGTCATCCCCTGTTTGTTCTTCTCCTTCTAGAAGGATTCTACGGATATGAGGTTCAGACAAGTCGAGTTGGCGTTGCAGATTGACGGCTTGCTTTTGAAGAGAGCAAGTGACTACGTAGCTTTGGACGATCGCATGATAGCATCGTATAGAGTTAAATCGATCTAGAATGTGATGAGACTTCCACCGTATCGTGGGAATACCGAGACCTAGAAGAGAGGCTTCCTTTGGTGTTATCAGGAGAAGCTTGAACTGGTACAACTTACGACATTACGAATGCATTTGAGGTGCAAGGAGTCAGATCCGTTCCTTTGTCATGATGGAGTCGACATCGTCCTGCATTTTGATCGCTTCAGACGCAGTGCGTGAGTGCTACATCTGACCTGCTTCACAATACGGGGGCCTTACGAACGAAAATGCCACGGTCATGATGCGTGCACGTCAAGGATTTCCCTTTCGTGTCTTCTTGCCAAGTATCCAGGCCAAGTTCGGTTGATGCAACATTTATCAAATGTCAAGCGTCTCTACCAGCTTGGCCCAGATCTAGCGTAGATTTTGTGTAGTTTCTGTCGGTGAAACGATCCCAAAGCCCCTTAAAGAGCTTGGTATGTCATGAAGTCATTCTCTAAATCCGCTCAACCACCCCGCTGCCTAGATCCCATCGGCAGTCTGCGCCATCGAAACTTGCCGGTAGAGGATGTAGGACGACGCGCAGGAGAGCTTGAACAGTATGCAACTCCGCGACCAAGTTGATTTGCTTTCGATGATCTGGAGTTGGTCTGTCCGGCGCCAGAATGTTGGTTAAGGGGTAAAGGGGGGTTTCCCACTGAAGGCA